ACATAAAGAACTATAGGTAACGAAGGGATGCTGAGAATGTGAGGGACAGTCTTAGAGCACACAAATTGGTTGTCCAGTACAAAAGGTCATCCCTTAAAACATACATATGAGTATAATTACACAGACTGAGCAGGATGTATTTAGGGACATGTGTGTTTGTGTTTTGTATGTGTGTATGCATATAATAGCTATTAATAAAAAAAGAAGCCATGAATTTGACAAAGTGCAAGGGGCATATGAAAAGGTTTGAAAAGAGGAAGGGAAGGAGGAAATGATGTGATTATATTATAATCTCAAAAATAAAATTAAAGAAACTGAATGGAAGTGCAATGATATAATATAAACTTTTCAAGGAAATTGATATCAGAAAACAATGAGGTTGAGATTCCTTCCCAAGAATAATTACCCCATTCAAGGTCTTGTTGAAAGAGCAATGTTTAAATAGCTATCTAAAGAATTACCTCTGCAGGAGTAATTCTCTCATATTCAGTGATCTTTCTAAACTCTGATTTGCAGGATGTTTGTCATATACTTGTGTGTGTGTGTGTGTGTGTGTGTGTGTGTGTGTGTGTGCGCGCGCGCACGCGCACAATGTTTAAGTTTTAAGGTAGGTGTTTATGTTTCTTGCTCCCCAAAGTAGCAGTATTTTGTAAATTCCTCCGCTTGAAAACATTCTGATGTGGTGTTTTTATCGCTCACGGTGCCAAACATAGTATGTGATTGTAAGTAATAGAAATGTTTTCTGTTTCTTGTTTTCTCAGTGTAACTGTGAGTTCTTATAATTGCATATATTTACTTTGGGAAATGTTCTATTTTAGAAAGATTTATTGCTTTACTTTAAGAGTATGTTATTCTGATTCTGACTGACAGTTCCTCTTGAATAATGGATGTCCAGGTAATTATTATACAGGTCATGTGGACACTCTCATCTTCTTTTAGTTTTCATTGAAGAATATGGAAAATGTTATTCACAGAACTCTCAGGATTTCTACCATTAATTGAGATAGTGTATATCAAGTTCTTAGCACATAAAAAAGCTTTGCAAATGTGAGTCCTTGCCATTACTTAAGTGGTGTTCATATTAATAAACGTGCACACACACTTTCTGAGCACAAATGAGAGAAAATTTCAGGATAAGACGAAGCAGTTTCTAGCAACTTTTGTAATGAGGTCTCAATTAACTGGGTTACTGTGACTGACATTGTACACACTTCAGTTTCTAAGAAATTCCTCTGTGCTGACTTCTTAGGCTGATATGGCAGTTGGTAGGCCATTTATTACTAGTTCTATTTTGGTGGAAAATTCAGCCTTGTGTGTCATTTAGAGTTTGTGACACATGTACCCTCCCAAGGCTTAATGAGTTGTCTACAGATGGGCTGTTATTTATTACAGTCATGTAGAATAAAATTGATTGTCTTCTAAAATTAATTTTTCATTTGCCTCCAGCCTTGCTTTAATAGAGGACACACAGTTGCCTGTTTGCAGAAATACTGTTTAATCACATTAATATCTCAGCCCCCCAGGCTGAAGAAGATAATTGTACAAACGAACAGTAAAATCTGTATCTTTAACTTCTTTTTATGATTAAATTATGCAAATGACTTCTCTCCTGCCCTTCCAAGCACTAATCATCTAATTAGGAATGATGTGTTAAAGGGATGGTTTTGAATCAAGAGAGGGACAAATGCAGGAAACAGAGAATGGGAACTGACAGTGCAAGCACTGAATGTAGAGTAATAAGCAGTGGAGGAACCTGTGTATTTCCTGTAAAAGAAAAGGGAAAACAATACATGCATTCTGTATACCTGACATGTTGTTGGCTCTGTCGGCAGTAAAGAAAATAATTCTCAAGTTTTGATGACATCTTTTTTGAGATTAACTTTAAATCATCAGTAAGGATTTTTAACAACATATCTAGTAAGATGCTGTCTTGTGATTTCTATCCATGCAGGATAATCTACAAACATCGAAGAATTGAAAAGCACCATTATAATGTAAACAAAGGTTTTCAGATCCTTCTTTACATGAAAGCAACAATTTTTACCCCCGAAATCTTGACAAAAGTCTGGATACAAGTCTACAATGAGCATACTTCTCCTTTGAAAACTAAATATTTATTTGTAAACCTCAGTTTAGAAACATCTAACTATGATTCTGTATGTCCGCCTCTGGAAATAATTGTAAAGCCTTTCTAGCATTAGTTATGATGAAGTATGCTTGCAATCTCAGCATTGGAAAGCCTGAGACAGAAGGATTGCCATGAATTTGGTGCTTATTTGGGCAATATAATGAGTTCTAGGCCAGCCTGGATAACATAGCAAGACACTGTTGCAAACAAACAAAATGAAACCTAAGAACTTTCTGCATGATAGTCATATGTATTTGTTAACACATCAGTCCATGTAATATAGACATTATTTATTTTAAATAGTAATGATAAGTGGATATAAGTATAAGCAATATTATTTCTTATAACCTATGCCAAAATTTGTGATTGGATATGGTTATTATAACAATATAAAAATAATGGCTATATAATTACATTTTTCATAGGTAATATAGAATATCCTAAAAACCCTTCTTATATTTAGATTTATAAGACAGAGACCATAATGTTTGTCTTTTATTAATTGCAATGCTGAGCTTTAAATGTTTTTCAGTCATCTTCAGAGTATTTGCTCTATATAATGCAGAGAATTTTCTCAACCATTTGAAGACAAATGCTCAAGTAATCTATCCCAAATATAATACCACCCCCCCACCCCCGACTCAAACCCAGGTATGGCATGCGGGCATACGTGAAGGCTGAACACTGTGTACATAATAAATAAATCTTTAAAAAAAAACAGACTTCCGGTGCTACTTAATGTTTAGGTTATTTCCCTGCTTTCATTGTCCTTGTCACTGATCACTCCTAGCCCCTGCTTTCTATTGTAGTGTACCAGGTCTTACTGGATTTCCACATTCATTAACCATCTTTGCTTGTTAAGAGAAGGCATAAAACTGCAGTTTAGCTGCTTTTGATGGAAAAGTGATTAAGTTGTTTGATTGGACAATTGAAGCCAGTGATTTTAATTTATTGAAACTTTAAGTTGGACTGCTTTTAAATGTTTTCCTGATGATTTGGCATTCCTGCATATTTATTTATTTTTAAATTGGTAGAACATAGCCTTAATATTGTACATCATTCAGTAAGTCTAAGTTAATTTGTGGATGTAAATTTTGGGTTCTGATATTTTACTGTACTGCTCTCTCCTTTTCTTTTGGAAACTGTTAAATTTTTCCCAACAAAAACATAACATTACTGTATTATATGATCAAAAACATACTGAAAATGACTAAACCCCTGTTAATACATTCAATTTTGGGGAACTGAGTTTATGCTCAGGGAAATTGCTGTATTTTTTTTTAGTCTAAGTTAAACATACATTCCTTTGTTATTGAAGGAGTCAACAAAGAATAATTTCAGTATTTGCAAATAGGAGTATTTGATTTTATAATCCCTGGCTTTTAATGAGTTTTTCACATGACATTTGTACATGGAATGGAACTAATTTCTGTTTATCTTATTATAGTAAAATTAATGCTTTTTACTAGTTATATAAATAATTTAAGAATATCTGTTTTACTTGGCTGTGGGAGTTCCCAGATCTCCTGGGTTGGAGTCACACTCTCAAGTGCTTTCCACATCTCTCCTGTTCTTAGAGAATTTTTATTGAATGCTATAATTATGAGAACAGATTTTAAACCACCGTATGGAACAAGTAAGTACTTTATGCCTATCATCACAAACATTGAGGAAAAACTTGAACCTAAAGTACCAGTATTTTTCTTCATTCAAAGGATAGAATGAGAGTTGTAGAAACTAAGCTGTTCACCTATCAAATGGGCTTGAGGCATCCTCTACACAGCAAGCATATATTCTCTGAGAATTGAAGACAACCCAGAAATGTTTAGTATTTGTTGTCTCATCATAGCCAGAATTATGATCTTACTTTCTTACAATTCTAAGCTACAATGCTGGGGTTTTTATGACTCATAAGAAAATGAAATATACAAGATCAAGGTTTTAATGTCTTACTTTTTCTTCATATCTACTGACTGGGAATAGTGTGTGATCTTCTGAAAAACTTCAAATTGCTGTACATATATTGAAACTTGATATATGTTCACCAGGATAAATGACTTATGGCTAAAAGGGCTATATGCCTCTATCAAACCCTACCTGTGTTGGCAACTCCAGTTTCTTCAGACTGTATGGAAGCAAAATCAATAGCTTTCTTTAGTGCTCCTATCAGCTCTGTGATTTTTCTTTCCTTTTCTCCATTTATTTATTCAGTGTAATGGTAGAAAATCCTAACGAGAGAGGACAGTGTCTAACCTAGGGCTGTAATTTCTAGGTAATTAGTCAAGAGGCAGAAGCATAAGAAGAACATGGTTTTTAGTTTGCTCAAGGGTTTGATTATTCTCCTAATACATGCTTTGCCTTTGGACATGCTACGTTCTCTAGAATCGTTCCCTTAGTTGATACCAGTTCACTGAGCAATTAATTTCTGTCTTCTCTATAAGGACCTTAGAAGTTTATTCATTTCTCCAACTCCATTAAAGTATCTAGAGTGACATTTATTAACTCTAGAGCATTATCTAGGCTTCTTTTATAGATGTTCTATGTATGGTCACTAAATAAATGTTCAATAACCTTCTAATCATACCAGCAATTATTGTCAAAACACAATGTATTAAATGCATCCATACGGTGTAACTGTATGCATTCAAGTTACTACTATAATGAAATTAAAATCTTTAAAGTGTATGTTGTTCATCATATGTGATCCAGATAGTATGATTGCAATTTTCTTTATTTATTTTGATCCCTATAACTACATTAAAAGTTAAGCATTGCCAGACAATAGTGGTGCATGCTTTTAATTCCAGCACTCAGGGAGACAGAGGCAAGCAAATATATGTGAGTTCGAGGCCAGCATGGTCTACAGAATGAGTTCCAGGACAGCCAGAGATACACAGAGAAACCCTGTCTTAATCGCCACCCCCGGCCAAAATAAGTTAAGTATTGCCAGTCCCTTATTATAGTGGATAGACTCAAAGCTCAAAGAAATTAATTAAATTACCCATAATAATAGCTTGTCAGTGAAAACAGGAATTCTTATTCTTTGCTAACCAACACAATGTATTAACCAAAAATCTGTAAATTAAAACATCATGGATTCAGGCACCAGGAAATGATATTTGAATTATGAACATAAAATTTCAATCAACTATTATATTTTGTGTTGGTAAGAATAGAAATCACAGTTTGAGCATTGTATATATGAGCATATTTTCAGAGAGGTGGCAAATGCCTGTCAAAACTTTGATTATAAGTCAGGACAACAATTGTCACCTTGGCAATTCATGTATCCACTAAAGTTTATTTTGGCAAGTCATGTATCTACTAAAATTATGTATAAAATCTCCAAAAAAAAGAGAGAATGCACTTCATGGGGAAAACAGAATCATTGAACCTTCCATTGTTCCCTTTCTCTTGCCTATTGACTTTTAAATGATAAAATCATGTTTTGAAGACTGGCAATAACAATCCCTTAAAAAATAATTCAGGCTGTTGAATGTTAACTATGATGTTTATAGTGGGCTATAAACTGGAAAAAGCCTTACATCTCTTCTGCATAGGATTTAATTATGCAGTTTGCTGTGACTCTAAGGACAATGAGAGACCAGGTTTCTCATAATATAGCAAGAGAACTATATCAAGGAAAGCAGTAATGAGACTCACCACAAATTCTGGTATACACACCAGGTGAAGCTACAAAGGCATAGAATATCTAAGCCAATTACCATTTCTTCTAATGATACATATAGATTTTTATCACTTTTCTCCTTTATACACACACACACCACATACACACTACAGACACACACACGCACACACAAACACACACACACAGATTACATCACCACCACAACCACTACCACTACCAGAACCTCATTTCGGAAGAATAATGACTCATCTAAAATAAACTGCAATAGTGGAAAAGAAAAGGGTTTTATTTACTATAAATTTTACATTGAGCCTGCTATGCATTGGATACTGTGTTTTTTATATCACTTTATTGTCATGTAATCCATCTGGTGGCCCTGAATTAGCTTATTAACAGGCACACTATCCACTACTGCTAGGAGTCTTAGCTGGAGTCATCCTTGTGGATTACTGGGAGTTAATGAAGTGTTACAGTTATACAGGTTAACAATAAAATTGCATAAGCAGAGTGAGATGTTTAACTGTATATTGTAAAACATAGTCAGAGATCTCAGCTACCTGCATCTTATAATTGATGAAATTAGAAGAAAATTCTTCCGCAATTCTTGGCATGACATGCACCACTATTACAATGCACAGAAAGGGTTCATATGCACTCCCTACTTGCAGATGTTATCATGTAATGTGGATGTTTTAGTTGATTGAGAACCCCTCCCTCCCTCCTTCCTTCCTTCCTTCCTTCCTTCCTTCCTTCCTTTCTTTCTTTTTTTGAGAGGAGCCTCACTATGTAGCACTGGTTGTCTTGGAACTTGCTCTGTAGATCAGGCTGGCCCAGAATTCATAAAGATCTGCTTGACTCTGCCTCCTGAGTGCTGGGATTAAAGGCATGAGCCACCACTGCCCAGCAGAATCACTTTTTATTAGTAGCTAACAGCACAGCTTGTACCCAGATATCAATCTTGGGAATATACCCAAAGGATTTTCAATCATACCACAAGGACCCTTGCTCAACTATGGTTTATAGCAGCATCATAATAGCCAAAAATGTGGAAACAACCTAGATGCCCCTCAAACAAAGAATAGATAGAGAAAATGTGGTATGTTTACACAATGGAGTATTACTCAACTGTAAAAAAAAAAGTGATCTCATGAAATTTGCAGACAAATGGGTGGAACCAGAAAAAAAAATAATCCTGAGTAAGGTAAACCAGACCCAGAAAGACAAATATGTTATGGATTCACTCATAAGTAGATATTAGGAGTAGAGTACAGGATAACCAACCTACCATCCACAGCCCCAGAGAGGCTAGATAACAAAGAAGTCCCAAAAATGAATGCATGATTTCCCTGTGAAGGGGAAATAGAAGAGCTCTCCTGGGTAAACTGGCAGGCAGGGGTCAAGTGATATGAGGATGGTAACTTGCATGAGCAGGTTGGGTTGGCTGGGCATGGGAGGCAGGTTGGGAACAGTAAGAAGGGGGAGAATGACAGAGATGTCTTGATGGGATACATTTGGGGTTAGGGAGAAACATGGTGCCAGGAAAATTCCCAGTAATCCACAAGGATGACCCCAGCTAAGACTCCTAGCAGTAGTGGATAGTGTGCCTGAACTGGCCATCTACTGTAATCAGATTGATGACTACAGTCACCAAAGAGCCTTTGTCCAGTAACTGATGGAAGCAGATGCAGAGATCCACAGCCAAGCACTGGGCTGAGCTACAGGTGTCCCATGAAAATAATGGAGGAGGGATTGTTTGAGCCAGGGGGGTCAAGGTCATGATGGGGGGGAACCCACGGAGACAGCTGACCTGAGATCATGGGAGCTAACAGATAGGGAGCTTGCGTGGAGTTGTGTAGCTTTATCTGTTTTTAAGGCTCCTAGCAGTGAGATCAAGACCTGTCCCAGGCTCCTAGCTGGCTTTCAGGAACCTGTTCACCATGCTGCATTACCTCACCCAGCCTTTTTGCAGGGGGAGGATCTCAGTCTTACCTTAATTTGATGTGCCTTGCTTTGCTCAAGCCCACGGGAGGCCTTCCTTTTCTGAATGGAGACTGAGAAGGAGTGGATAGGGAGGGGTGGAGGAGATGGAAGTAGAGGTGAAGGAATGGGAGAAGAGCAGGGAGGGGAAACTGTGGTTGATATGTAAAATAATTGAAAATTTTTAATTAAATAAAATTAAATTAAAGATATAACTTGTTATCTAATTTGGATGGATTATGAGAGACACATTTATAAAATTTTTCTTCCAATGTAAGACTATGAAAGTATTAGGATGTATCTAAGTTACAAATTCCCCTATGAGAAAGAGAAAGTTTTAAGACATATAATATCAAGCACAGTGATAATTGTGAGGGAAAGATAAAGTAAGAACAGGAGATTAAAAACATAACAGAACCTTATATTTGAGTGATTATCACAGTTTACAGAGAACTAATGGCCTATATTCCAGGGATAACTAATCACGATGTAGTATATAAGAAATGAAGGTAGTTATTTTACTTATTAGGTAGCCTACCTAATAGAAAGAACATGAGTTTGCAAAATTTTATGTCGCCTCATGTCTTTTAGGTATTTCATCTGTATAGTTGATAAAATGAAAGGGCCTCTTGTGTCCTTTCCCATTCTATTAATGGAATGGTGGCAAGCCCAATTTTGTGAGGGTCTTGTATGCATAGTCACAGCGTTAGTGGGTTCGTGAGTGTAACAGCCATCTCATGTCCAGAAGACATCTTTCTGTAGCCAACTTTCATATCTTCTGACTCTTCCATTTTTCCTCTCCACTCATCTGCAGGGGTCCTGAGCCTTGGAGGGATTATAGAGAACCTCTTTAGGGACAAGCACTCCACTGTCCTTTATTTGCTGCACTTTGACTGTTTATGAACTTTTACATTATCTACTACTGAACTTAGAAAGAAGCATCTCTGATGATGCCAAGAGTAGCACTAACATATATGAGTACCTAGAAGGCACTTTTACTATATATAATTTAGTAAGATTAAAGCAGTAAACTTCCCAACTCTCACTTTCATCTACATTTCCAGGACCAGGCATGAGTTCCCACCTGTTGTAGTAAGCCTCAAATCTCATCCAAGAGTCATTGCTTTATTCCATGAAATTTGTGCCACTATTGTTCCAATGGACATATCTTGCTATGCTCATAATCATTATATTGTTTTTAAATTGAGTGTGTGTATGTGTAAATGCACACACACATGCATATCTGTGAGTGTAGGTGCATGTGTACTATGGCACACTTTTGGAGTGAGGGGACAGTGCTTGGGAATTGTTTTTTTTTTTTTTTCTTTCCATCTTGTGAGACCCAGGAATCAAAATTTGGTCTTTAGGTCTGCAAGCAAGTGCCCTACCTGCTGAGCCATCTTTCTGGGCCTTGAATAGCCCCATTCTTAACCATGATACTATTTATAAGTTAAAGAGCTCTTCTTTCATGGTGTTTCAATTTCATGGGCATTGAGTATTTAGAGTGATTTTATCACTGGGATGATCAGATACAGTGTTAAAAACCATTTCTAACTTTTCAATATATGTCCTGTTAGCTGAATAGGACTCCCAAGAATTAAATGTCTTCCTGTTTTCTACCTTCAAGAAAACCTAACAATTTCACATGTGAGAAAACAGAGCATGTAATTCTAAAAGGACAAAAATTTAAGATATTCTACAGAAGTTTAAAGAAGGAAGGCATCTCTATATTTTCATTGAACTTGAGACAGTGTGAGGATTCACAGCTTCCTTGCCTTTCATGTCAGTATAAATATATGTGTGTGTATTTGTGTGTGTATATTGTCCATAACAATTTTGATATCTTCCTTCCTTCTTTCTTTCTTTCTTTCTTTCTTTCTTTCTTTCTTTCTTTTTTTTTCAGTATGGTACCCTCTAGCTTAGGAATTTTGTTCTGATTTTTTAAAAATCTGTAGTGAGGAGCTGTGGGCAGGCCTGCTTTTTATCCCACCAGGCTCCTGCATGGCTAGCTTTACACCTGAAATAACAACACACAAATTGTATTCATTTGAACACTGCCTGGCTCATTAGTTTCAGCCTCTTATTGGCTAATTCCCACATCTTGCTTTAACCCATATTTAGTAACCTGTGTAGCACCACGAGGTGGTGGCTTACCGGGAAGTCTACTTACCAATAATTTCTAAAAATAATGGTCTATTAAACAAGAGAAAAAACCAATATTCTTGTTTTTATTAAAAACATTTAAAGTGAGTGTCTGGAGAGATGGCACTTCAATAAAGA